CAGATTTGGGGTTCAGGTGCAGCTCCAGTTGCAGATTTGGGCTCCAGGTGCAGATTTGGGCTCCAGGTGCAGCTCCAGGTGCAGATTTGGGGTTCCAGGTGCAGCTCCAGGTGCAGATTTGGGCTCCAGGTGCAGCTCCAGGTGCAGATTTGGGGTTCCAGGTGCAGCTCCAGGTGCAGATTTGGGGTTCCAGGTGCAGATTTGGGCTCCAGGTGCAGCTCCAGGTGCAGATTCAGGCTCCAGGTGCAGATTCAGGCTCCAGGTGCAGATTCAGGCTCCAGGTGCAGATTTGGGCTCCAGGTGTGCTCCCCCGAGGGGGAGCCCTGCAGGTGGGGCGGGGGGATGGAGCCCAGCCCGGGGGGCTCTCAGGGGGTGCCGGGGGTGCCGGGGGGGTTCGGGGCGCCCCGGCGCCCCCCGCTCTGCGCTGCCGCGGCCCCGGCCCCGCGGGCGGGGGTCCCGTCGGGCGGGGGTCCCGTCGGGCGGGGGTCGCGGAGCGCCCCCGGTGCCGCCCGCTCACGGTGTCTCCGTCTCTCCGCAGCCGCCGCCGTGCTCAGCCCCGCCGTCCCGCCGGTCCCGCCGCCCCCGGGGCCGCCGCCGCTGCTGGCCCAGCCCCCGCCGGCGCCCACCCCCCCAAAGGAGCCCCCGGTCACCGTGCAGCCCCAGATCACCGGCCTGGCCTTTAACCCCGGCATAGTAAGCACCGATCCCGGCCCAGAGCGGGGCCGCGGGGAGCCCCGGGGCTTCCCGGGCCGCGTCCCCGCCTCAGTTTCCCCCAAAGGTGTATCTGTACAGGTGTAAGGTGTATCTGTACAGGTGTAAGGTGTATCTGTGCGTGTAAGGTGTATCTGTACAGGTGTAAGGTGTATCTGTGCGTGTAAGGTGTATTGGTACAAGTGTGTGTAAGGTGAAGCTGTGCAGGTGTGCGTAAGGAGATTCCCGGCCTCAGTTTCCCCAATGGAGATTTCCGGCCTCAGTTTCCCCAATGGAGATTCCCGGCCTCAGTTTCCCCAAGCGGGATTCCCTGCCTCAGTTTCCCCAATGGAGATTCCCTGCCTCAGTTTCCCCAAGTGGGATTCCAGGCCTGTTTCCCAATGGAAATTCCCGGCCTCAGTTTCCCCAATGGAGATTCCCGGCCTCAGTTTCCCCAAGCGGGATTCCCTGCCTCAGTTTCCCCAGTGGAGATTCCCTGCCTCAGTTTCCCCAATGGAGATTCCCGGCCTCAGTTTCCCCAGTGGAGATTCCCTGCCTCAGTTTCCCCAAGTGGGAGTCCCGGCCTCAGTTTCCCCAGGCAGAATCCCACTCAGTTTCCACACGGGAGACTGTGACCTCAGTATCCCTGGAGGGGATCCCTGCCTCAGTTTCCCAGGATGAGATCCCAGTCCATTTCCCAGGTGGGATCCCTGCCTCAGTTTCCCCGTGCAGGATCCCTGCCTCAGTTTCCCTGAGCACGATCCCTGCCTCAGTTTCCCCGTGCAGGATCTGAGCCTCAGTTTCCCTGAACTCAATCCCTGCCTCAGTTTCCCCATCCCAAGAAGCTGCAGCTGTGCTTCGGGCAGCTCCCAGCGGATGGATTTATGGATGTATGGATGTATGGATTTATGGATCTATGGATGTATGGATTTATGGATTTATGGATGTATGGATTTAGGGATTTATGGATGTATGGATGTATGGATGTATGGATGTATGGATTTATGGATTTATGGATGTATGGATGTATGGATGTATGGATGTAAGGATTTACGGATGTATGGATGTATGGATGTATGGATGTATGGATTTATGGATGTATGGATGTATGGATTTATGGATGTATGGATGTATGGATTTAGGGATTTAGGGATTTAGGGATTTATGGATGTATGGATGTAGGGATTTATGGATGTATGGATGTATGGATGTATGGATGTATGGATGTATGGATGTATGGATTTATGGATGTATGGATGTATGGATGTATGGATGTAGGGATTTAGGGATTTATGGATGTATGGATGTAGGGATGTATGGATGTATGGATGTATGGATTTATGGATGTATGGATTTAGGGATGTATGGATGTATGGATGTATGGATTTATGGATGTATGGATTTATGGATGTATGGATTTAGGGATTTAGGGATTTATGGATGTATGGATGTAGGGAT